ATCATTACTAGGTCCTCTCCCTCTCTGCTTCCTGAGCTTTGTCATACCATTTCTTAAAACTATGTATGGTTCCTGCCTCCACTACTTCACTTGCTAGGCTATTCCACTCCCTGACGACTCTATGACTGAAGAAATACTTCCTAACGTCCCTGTGACTCGTCTGAGTCTTCAGCTTCCAGTTGTGACCCCTTGTTTCTGTGTCCCCTCTCTGGAACATCCTATCTCTGTCCACCTTGTCTATTCCCCGCAGTATCTTGTATGTTGTTATCATGTCTCCCCTGACCCTTCTGTCCTCCAGTGTCGTCAGTCCGATTTCCCTCAACCTCTCCTCGTATGACATTCCCCTGACTAGCCTTGTTGCAAACCTTTGTACTTTCTCTAACTTCTTGACGTGCTTGACCAGGTGTGGGTTCCAGACTGATGCTGCATACTCCAGTATGGGCCTAACATACACAGTGTACAGTGTCTTGAACGATTCCTTATTAAGGTATCGGAACGCTATTCTCAGGTTTGCCAGGCGCCCGTATGCTACAGCAGTTATTTGGTTGATGTGTGCCTCCGGTGATGTGCTCGGTGTTATGGTCACCCCAAGGTCTTTCTCCCTGAGTGAGGTCTGTAGTCTTTGTCCACCTAGCCTATACTCTGTCTGCGGTCTTCTTTGCCCCTCCCCAATATTCATGACTTTGCATTTGGCAGGGTTGAATTCGAGAAGCCAGTTTCTGGACCACATGTCCAGCCTGTCCAGGTCTCTTTGGAGTCCTGCCTCATCCTCATCCGATTTAATTCTTCTCATCAGCTTCACATCATCTGCGAATAGGGACACTTCAGAGTCTATTCCTTTCATCATGTTCGCATATATCAAAAATAGCACTGGTCCTAGAACTGACCCCTGTGGGACCCCGCTCGTCACAGGCGCCCACTGTGATACCTTTTCACGTACCATGACTCGTTGTTGCCTCCCTGTCAGGTATTCCCTGATCCATTGCAGAGCCCTCCCTGTTATATGCGCCTGATCCTCCAACTTCTTCACTAATCTCTTGTGGGGAACAGTGTCAAAGGCCTTCCTGCAGTCTAGGAAAACGCAATCAACCCACCCCTCTCTCGTGTCTTACTTCTGTTACCGTGTCATAAAACTCCAGAAGGTTTGTGATACAGGATTTGCCTTCCATGAACCCATGCTGGTTTTCATTTATAATCTGTGTGTGTGTGTGTGTGTGTGTGTGTGTACTCACCTAGTTGTGGTTGCAGGGGTCGAGTCATAGCTCCTGGCCCCGCCTCTTCACTGGCCGCTACTGGGTCACTCTTCCCACACCGTGAGATATATCATACCTCTGCTTAAAGCTATGTATGGATCCTGCCTCTACTACATCGCTTCAAAAACTATTCCACTTCCTGACTACTCTGTGACTGAAGAAATACTTCCTAACATCCCTGTGATTCATTTGTGTCTTCAATTTCCAGCTGTCCCCCCTTGGTGCTGTGTCCCATCTCTGGAACATTCTGTCTCTGTCCACCTTGTCAATTCCTCTCAGTATTTTATATGTCGTTATCATATCCCCCTCTCTCTCTCCTGTCCTCCAGTGCCATCAGGTCGGTTTCCCTTAACCTCTACTCGTAGGACATGCCCCTTAACTCCAGGATTAGTCTTGTTGCAAACCTTTGCACTTTCTCTAGTTTCCTTACGTGCTTGGCTAGGTGTGGATTCCAAACTGGTGCTGCATACTCCAATATAGGCCTAACGTACACAGTGTACAGGGTCCTGAACGATGCTTATCGAGATGTCGGAATGCTGGTCTTAGGTTTGCTAGGCGCCCATATGCTGTAGCAGTTTTTGGTTGATGTGCGCCTCAGGAGAAGTGCCCGGTGTTATACTCATCCCAAGATCCTTTTTCTTGAGTAAGGTTTGTAGTCTTTGGCCCCCCAAGACTGTACTCCGTCTGCGGTCTTCTTTGCCCTTCCCCAATCTTCATGACTGCACTTGGTGGGGTATGACTTTGCACTTGGTGGTGGTGGTGGTGGTGGTGTGTGTGTGGGGGGGGGGGTGTAGTTTACTCATCTATATGTGGTTGCAGGAGTCTAGTTCTAGCTTTTGGCCCCCGCCTCTCAAGTTGCCGCTTGTCAGAGTCACTATCTCTCTCTCCTAGCCTCGTGGACCTTATCGTACCTGCTCTTAAAACTATATATGGAGCATGCCTCCACCACTTCCTCGTCGAGGTCATTCTATTTCCTCACCATCCTGAGACCGAAGAAATACTTCCTAACTATTCCTGTAACTCATCTGAGACTTTAATTTCCAGCCAAGTCCCCAAGTACAGGTTTCCCGTCTCTCAATTAGCCAATTCCTGTCTGCTCTATTAATTCCTCTGAGTATTTTATATGTTGTTATCACGTCTCTCCTTGCTTCCTATGTCTTCCAATGTGGTTAGATTCAATTTCACTGTGCCCCGCTTCGTAGCTCATGCCCCTTAGCTCCGGAACAAGCCTTGTTGCGCACTCCTGCACTTTCTCCGATTTTTTAATATGCATTATCAGTTGTGGTTGCCATACTGATGCTGTGTACTCCAAAATGAACCTAACGTATGTTGTATAAAGGACCCAGAATGACTCTCGAGATTCCTGAAGACTACTCATAGATGTGCCAAACGAGCATTGGTTGCAGAGGTTATTTGGTTGATGTGAATCCCTGGCTCTATGCTAGGCTCTATGCTCACTGCCGGATTTCCTCCTTGAGTGAGGTCTGCAGCCTGTCCCCCGAGTGTACACTGCGTGTCCGGTCTTTTTTGCTTTTTCCCCTATTTTTCATAACCTTGCATTTGCTGGAGTTGAATTCAAGCAATCACTTATCTGACCAATCCTGCAGTATGTCCAGATCCATTTGATGCCTTTACCCGTCCTCACATGCTTGCATTCTTTTTACATCATAAACAAACAGAGATACACCTAATTTAATTCCATCTGACATGTCCATATAAACCAGAGACAGTACCGGTCCTCATACCAGTCCATGCAGAACCCCGCTTGTTACCCTTGCCCATTCTGACATCTCTTCCCGGACAATTACTCTTTGATTCCTTCCCCTAAGGTACTCTTTGATCCATCGGAGTACGTTTCCAGTTATTCTTATCAACACCAAGTTTTCGCCCCAAGTCTCTTGTGGGGTACAGTGTCAATTGCCTTTTTGCAGTCTAAAAAAAAAAAACGCAATCCATTTATCCTTTCTCTCTTCTTTCAATGTCTCTAACTTGTCACGGAATTTTAACAGGTTGGTATGAAAAATTTGCCATCTCTAAAGCCATAAGGTTACTGTTTATGAAACTACTTCTCTGCGAGTGCTCTACCACTTTCGTTACGTTTTTTCTCCATTAGGTTCTATGGCATGTCAGTGAAACTGGTCTGTAGTTCAAGGCCTCTTGTCTGTCTCCTTTCTCAAATATAATTACTACATTTTCTGACTTCCAGATTTCTGGCAACTGTCCTGTGTTCACTGACTAGTAGATCTCAGCTAGTGGTTCGGACAGTGCTTATGGCCCCTCTCGCAGGATTCACTTTGTCAGGTCCCATTGACTTTGATGTATGCAGCTCCAGTGTGTGTGCGTGTATATAGTCATCTATATGTGGTTGTAGGTGTCGAGTCTTAGCTCCTGGCCCCACCTCTTCGCTGGTCGCTACTAGGTTCACTCTATCTTGGCTTGAGAGCCTTATCGGACCTCTTCTAAAAGCTATGCATGGATTCTGCTACTACGACTTCATCTATGTTAACAACTTCCAGCTGTGCCTTGGTGTTCCTGTTTTCCGTCTCTCAATCTGTCCCTGTCCACCCATCGTTTCCTCTCAATGTTTTGTACGTTACCACATCACCCCTAGTCCTTCTTTCCTTTAGTGTCATCAGGCTTAGTTCCCTAAATCTCTTATCTAAGGACATACCTCTTAGCTGTGGGGGCTAGTATCGTTGCAAACCTCTACACTTTCTTGACATGCATGACAAGGTATGGGTTCCATACTGGTGCTGCATACTCCAATATGGGCCTGACGTACACGGTATGCAGTGTCTAAAAGCTATTCTTAGATTTGCCAGACGCGCATTTGCTGCAACAGGTTGATGTGCGCCTCGGGTGATATGCTCAGTACAACACTCACCCCAAGGTTCTTCTCTTTGAGTGAGATTTGCAGCTTTGGCAACCTGAATCTATACTCCGTCTACAATCTTTTCTTTTTCCAAAAACTTCATAACTTTGCACTTGCTGGAGTTAAATTCCAGTAGCTACTTGTCAAAGTAGACGTGCAGCCTCTCCAGATCCGTTTTTAGCCTTTCCTGGTCCTCATCTGCTTGTATTCTTCTCATTAGCTACATGTCATTTGCGAAAAGGGATACCTCTGACTCTATACCTTCTGTCAGGTCATTCACGTATACAAAAAATAATGCCGGTCCTAGTACTGATCCTTGTGGAACCCCACTCTCCATATGCACCCTTTCCGACAGCTCTTCACGGACAGCCCTTCGTTGTTTCCTTCCTATTAGGTATGCCTTGAATCATTGTAGTGTTTTTACTGTTATTCCTGCCTGCTCCTCTAGCTTTTGCACTAGTCTCTTGTGCTGTAATATGTCAAAAGTCTTCATACAGTCCCAGAATATGCAATCTACCCATCCCTCTCTCTCCTGCCTTATTTATGTTACCTTGTCGTAGAACTCAAGGTTTGTGAGACAGGAATTACCATCTCTAAAGACGTGCTGGTTGTGTGTGAGTGAGTGAGTGTGTGTGTGTGTGTGTGTGTGTGTGTGTGTGTGTGTGTGTGTGTGTGTGTGTGTGTGTGTGTGTGTGTGTGTGTGGAGTGGAGAGAGAGAGAGAGAGAGAGAGAGAGAGAGAGAGAGAGAGAGAGAGAGAGAGAGAGAGAGAGAGGAGAGAGAGAAGGGAGCGAGAGAGAGGAGAGGAGAGAGAGAGAGAGAGAGAGAGGAGAGAGAGAGAGAGAGAGAGAGAGAGAGAGAGAGAGAGAAAACTCACGGTCATCACTGAAGTCGTCGACAAGTATGATCTCCTTCACCAGGTGTTCTGGGCTTCGGTTCAGCACACTGATGGAACATAACACATCACATTAATATCACACTCATTATGGTGGGACATGAACTCATAATAAGTAATAAACAGCTGTTAGTGAATAAACAAAAGGGTGGACGAGGGGCTAGAACCGCGGTCCGTAAATTGACCGTCCTAGACAGTAGAGCGTCGGACTGTTAATTCAAGGACCACGGTTCGAGCCCCTCGTCCATCCTTCTGTTCATTCATGATGGGACATATATAAAAATCTGCTTAGAGTTGGGTAAAATAATTGTCAGACCGCATCAAATTAGCCGGGTATAATACTGACATCACCTGCCTAACGTTAGTTGTCTATAATGATAAAACATACGCATATATTCACTCAAAATTTCTAATAAAATACTGAATATGACAAAAAAAATTTAAGTTTTATACTAGCTGGTGCTTAAATCGCCTAGAGTCAGTATCTTGGCTAAATGGTAACTAGCCTGGGGAGGGATTCCGTTCGTTTCCTTACACCTCTCGACTGTTCACTTGGCAGTAAGTAGGTGTGGGTGGCACACTTAGTAAAGGGGCCACATTACCCCCAGTAAAAATAAGCTATACAGATTGGCTTTCTTGTGTTAATAATCAAGGTTAATAACCCTTAATTAAGGTTAATACTCCTGTTTTCTTCAACTCCTGAATACATGCATGGTGTGAGTTACCATATATGATACACTCTGGTATGGTAACTTAATAACATAATAATATGCTCACTTCTCGATAAGTGGTTAAGGTGGAAACATTTCTCTAGTGCTGGGGAAGTTATGTGCATATAACGGTGAAGTAGAAATACACACTCCAGTAAACTCAATATTTTAGTTAAACAAAACCACAAACTTGACTCAAAACTCTTTGTATAAGAGCATCAACTCATCCGCTCAAATGTTAAATACATTCAGCTGTATCTCTTGTCCAAGTCTTTACACCTGAAGGTAGTGATGTTTTCCTTTGTTTTTGTTTGTTAATGAAGCAAAGTATGCTGTTTATGACATTTTGAGAAAACATTTTCACTACAATGGAATATCAGTTGATAAAGTCTCTGGTGGACGAATCGTATTCTCAATAAAATGTCATAAACTACATATTTTGCCCTATTAACATACTTGTCGGTGTATTCTACCACTGATATACATTGCATTCTTGGCTTATGGTAAATGTCATCAGTTTTGAGACTGCGCCAAGATGTAATAAGTAAAGGCAAAAGGCAAGCGAAGGATCAATTTGTGTTCACTAGATGAGCCGACCCCTGACCAACAGTGGGTACCGCTGGCCATCACCACACCCCACCTCAATATTCGCCTTTACTTGAAGCACTAATTACAAAACAATGACATACCTGGAGGGGGTTTCGGGGGTCAACGCCCCGCGGCCCGGTCCGTGTTTGGCACACATGCTAGACTTCTCAGCATCTATTCACGCACTCTTCAGTATTTTCATATTTTGCATTCATAAGTTTATCGTAGTAAAAAACAACATTATTAAGACATTTATATATCATTCAGGAAAAATAACAGCTATTTTTATGAGTACTGTGTAATAGTTGGCACTAGTTCAAATCTTGTGTATTATAATTAAGTCCAGTTGATAGCCAAGCAGGGGAGTGGCACAGTAGCCTAGTTATACAACTCAAATAGTCAAGTCCCAGCAGAGGAAAGATCTAGCAACACACTGGAGGGGGTAGCCTAGCCCCGGCTCTGGTAGTGTAACCCTAGCAATTAAGAGTTGGGAGTGATTGCACAGCTGCCTTTAACTGCAATTTAGTAATAAAGACGCTAGATGGAAGACCTAAGAAGCATCTGTAAGATCAACATAACCTTAAGTAACGCTTTACTGAGCAGCAATATTAAAAATTTGGCCCAGACCAAACAGCAACTATTGAAGACTGTGCTCGAAATTGCAGACATAAAGCATAACCCTATCAATAACATCAAGGATAACACTTGTAGTATACTTGAGGTACTTGCAAGAAGTAGAATATGCAATACATCAGCGACAAATACATCTAGTAGAGGAGGAACTACACTACAAAATAATATCAACCGTGTATCGCAAATATCATTGAAGCTATATTTCATCTTCCCAGTGGGGTTCTTGATCCAAGGAAGTGCACTTTTTCCCTTGGTTCGAACCTGATTGCTTTTCATGGACTGTGTTGCTCTCCGCCTAGCCGCCCCCATACTTACCGAACATAGGTGTATTTGCCGCAGGACGTCGGCTGATCAATTCGGACTTCATGGTCTCGTGTGTCATACATCAGAAGGGAAGTATGCTAGGCATGAGGAGGTCAACGACATCATAAAGAGAAGTCTCGCCACAGCCCGTTGTCCAGCTCAACGGGAACCCCAAATACTGAGGTCTGACGGAAGTCAAAAGCGTCCAGACGGAATCACTATGCTACCCTAGAAGGTTGGCAAGCAGATTGCCTGGGACTACGCATGTGCCGCCACGTTGGCGGACACCTACTTGCCATACTATGAAGCTGAAGAGGGTGGAGCCATCAGTTACGGGGAGACCCAGAAGATTCACAAATATGAAGACCTGCCCCCTTGCTATAACTTCATCCCAGTAGGGTCGGAAACCCTTGGAGCATGGGGCAATTGTGCCCTAAAGTTCCTCAGAAAGCTGGGTAAAAAATTCATCACAGAAACCAAGGATCACAGAGCGGTCAGCTTCTGCTTTCAAAGAGGCTCAGTGTCGCTACCCACCGGGAAAATGCATGCGACCCACTACCGGGGAGCTGAATGAAGTATTTGAGACGTAGGCTCTGAGATGTTATTTACGTTGTTCTACTTCCTTTTATGTTTTTATTGATGCATTTTGTTGATGTACTTTGTCGTTAAATAAATTTCACATAGGATATAGAATATAATGGATGATAGGAGAAGAAAATATTCAAGCGTTCCGAGAAGAACCTTGAGTTAGATAGGAGTGAATGGAGACGAATGGTACTTGGGACCTGACGATCTGTTGGAGTGTGAGCAGGGTAATATTTAGTGAAGGGATTCAGGGAAACCGGTTATTTTCATATAGTCGGACTTGAGTCCTGGAAATGGGAAGTACAATGCCTGCACTTTAAAAGAGGGGTTTGGGATATTGGCAGTTTGGAGGGATATGTTGTGTATCTTTATATGTGTATGCTTCTAGACTGTTGTATTCTGAGCACCTCTGCAAAAACAGTGATAATGTGCGAGTGTGGTGAAAGTGTTGAATGATGATGAAAGTATTTTCTTTTTGGGGATTTTCTTTCTTTTTTGGGTCACCCTGCCTCGGTGGGAGACGGCCGACTTGTTGAAAAAAAAATATATATATATATATATATATATATATATATATATATATATATATATATATATATATATATATATATATATATATACACATGTATATATATGTTGTGTGTGTGTGTGTGTGGTGTGTGTGCATGCATAGTTTGTGTGTGTGTAGTTACTAGCTGTCAAAGGCACTTGTCAATAGACAACTAGCCTTCTCTCTTTTTTTTTTGTGTGTGTGTGTTTACTCGCCTAGTTGTGTTGACCTATATGTGATTGCAGGGGTCGATTCACAGTTCCTGGCCCCGGCTCCTAGCTGGTCGTTACTAGATCCACTCTCTCCCGGCTTCAAGAGTCGTATTGTACCTCTTCTTAAAGCTATGAATGGATTCCGCCTCTACCACTTCACTCTCCAGATTGTTCCACTTCCTGACAACTCTAGGCTGAAGAAATACTTCCTAACATACCTATGACTCATCTGAGTTTTCAGATTCTAGCTGTGCCCTTTTGTTCATATTTCTGATCTCTGAAACATTGTCTTTGTTGACCCTGTCAATTCCTCTCAGAATTTTGAAAGTCGTTATCATATACCCTTTAGTCCTTCTGTCCTCCAGTGTCATCAGGTTCAGTTTCCTTAACCTCTCCTCATAGGACATACCCCTTAGCTTCGGGACTAGTCTTGCTGCAAACCACTGCACTTTCTCAAGTTTCTTGATATGACTGACCTGGTGAGGGTTCCATTCTGGTGCTGCGTATTCCAATATAGGCCTGACGGACACGGTGTACAGTGTCGTGAATGAATCCTTACTTAGATGTCGAAAAGCTATTCTTAGCTTTGCCATACGCACATTTTCTGCAGCAGTTATTTGGTTGATGTGCGACTCAGGGGATATGCTTGGTATAATTCTCACCCCAAGGTCCTTTATCCCTGAGTGAGATTTGTAGCCTTTGCCCCCGAGCCTGTACTCAATCTGCGGTCTTCCTTGTACCTCCCCAAGTTTCATAACCTTGCACTGGTGGGGTTAAACTCCAGGAGCCAGTTGTCAGATCAGGCCTGTAGCCTGTCCAGATTCATCTGTAGCTTTTCCTGGTCTCCTACCGCTCGTATTCTCATTAATTTCACGTAGTCTGCGAACAGGGATACCTCTGACTGCCCGGTCCTTGCAACAAGACAAGTCCCGGAGCTGAGGGGTTTGTCCTACGAGGACAATACTTAAAGACTTAAGTAGCCTTTTAATATTAGGTTAAGTCTGCCCGAAATGCCCCGGCATGATGTTGGCTTTCTTTGTACCAATCAAATTATGGAATGTAAGCACACATTGTAATCTTTGAAAAGAAATAAATTTTTGTTTGTTTTATTTGAGAGGTTAAGGGAGAACAGGAGGGATAGGTGGACATGATAACAACATATAAAATACTGAGAGGAACTAACAAGGTGAACAAGGACAGAATGCTTCAGAAATTGGATACAGGAGCAAGGGGACACAACTGGAGAACAGGAGGGATAGGTGGACATGATAACAACATATAAAATACTGAGAGGAACTGACAAGGTGAACAAGGACAGAATGCTTCAGAAATTGGATACAGGAGCAAGGGGACACAACTGGAAGTTGAAAATTCAGATAAGTTATAGGGATGTTAGTAAGTATTTCTTCAGCCGTAGAGTTGTCAGGAAGTAGAATAATCTGGAGACTGAAGTAGAGGCAGGATCCACA